GCTCATGAAGAATATCCACCAAAAGATGGTTATGAGAACAGTCGTCAACTTAATGTAGTGGCTAGAGCAATATTAATCCATCCTGATTTAGTAACCTTGTGGAAAGAAATTGGTTATCGTGAGATTTGTAGCGATGTCAATGAACTTGTAATGCAAGGCGCCTTATTGATTCTTTTCCCTCCTACTCCGCCAAATAATTGGGAATGTCCTGACGTGCGTACTATTGTTGATCGTTTAAAACATCTTATTGAACTAGGATTTCAATTAACACCTAATGTTATGGAAGAAGCATTACATTTGTTCGAAAATAGGTTAAATGAAATAGGTGACCTCCTAATGGAATCATTTCAAGTAATTCTTATGAAATCAACATCTGATGTTGCAAGTTCCTGTCTTATTCAAGCAATTAAACCCGAAAGAAATTTTAAAAAAACTGATTTATTAGAATTTTTAATTAAAAGAGTTGATAAAGGGGCTTTAAAAAATGCATTAGATCATTATAAAGTTGGATTCAAGTTTAATGCTGAATCAATCAAAACAACAAAGAAAATTAGATCATTAACAGTCCATTCAAATCTCTATTATTGGATACTTAAAAAATATGGTCCGAATTCTGAAGTAACTCAGAAATGTTTTGATGACATTATTGAGTCTAGAATTTGGGTAGATTTAAAATTACAGAAAACTCCAGACAGAGAAGTTCCGGAGGGACTGACTATCGGCGCCTTTAATTCTATTTGCTCAATTTATCTCGAATTCTGTAATGAAAAGGTTCCATTCAAAGCGAATATTTTGCAATATTTACAATTGATTAATAATTATGAAATAATAAATCCATTTTTTAACTATTGTATTTGGTATACAATTAATAGAGGAATTACCTTTGACGATTAGAGCAATATCAAAAGCAAATAAAGATTTAATGTATTTATTATAATTCACGAGAAGTGATTTAATAAAAGTAAATCCGACAATTGACTTTTCTAGTAACGATCATCATTTGGTCGAAAATCAATAAAATAGTAAATTTTATTATTTAGTAAATTTGCAAAAGAAAACTGGCAGTTTTTGGCCGGAATTAAAATTGAATTTTAGTTAATTCGAGAATACTAACTACTAAACTATGTGATTATTTATGAATTAAAATTTGGTTCATCAATTATTAATGACTCGATCATTAGAGTCGGTCAAATAACTGATTTTTATCTTTCTAATTTTAATTAAACTTAACCGTGAATCAGAACATAATGTAAATCAGATAGATCAATTTTTATAAACCATTATTATTGTTACATTGAAATAATTTCGCCCGAAATCTCCATAATTCCGCATGACAATCTCTTTCGATATTTGCAGTGCAGTTGGTCCTTTGAAGATCATTTGCCACCTGTCAAGGTGTCCTAATTATTAATTTTTTATGCTGGAAATCCTTAAACAGCTCAACATTCCATCCACGCTCGCCCTTAATATGATTTGCATACATAGTCATTGATATCCTTCCTTTAACACCTTCGCGATATTTTCGCTTTCGCCGTTTTAACTTTTTAGATTTCGTATTTGTAATTTCGTTTATTTTTAATTTCCGATTTTTATTATTATTTTATTACTCAATTCTTTTGTAATTATTCGTAATTGCGCAGTTTTAATTAATTGACTGGCATTTACTTAGTTTAACATATTAACATTGCGAAAGTGTAAAGCGCTGACGTTGAGGCAACTCTGATTAATTTGATACTATTAAATAAATAGCGTCAACATTATTTCATTTTTTTCTCAATAAAAACTTCTGCTTACATTTATAAATACTTAAACGAATGAACTGAATAAAACACTATTGACTAAATAGTAACGGATGTTTTATCAAACGCAAATACACTATAGTTTTTTGGCTATCATCTCGCCACTTACCCTAATATTGGCTATCTTGGGCAAAAGTATCTTTCCATCTTTTTTTCCTTTCGCGTAATACTTTCAATTTTTAGAAAATAAATGCAGTTCTTATTACTTAAGATACTGTGCCATTCATCATTCATATATTACTTCTTTGTAGAGACTCCCTTTTCTTTTGACAATTCCATCCCCTCTTTAAATAATTACACAAAATGTTAAAATTCGTAGCATCATTATTTAAAAAAACTAGCACTGGTACCACTTCAACAACGGATATTAAAACGGATGTTACTTCTTTATTACTGTTGAAAATTCTACAGTTACTGTATCAAAGGGTCGGGTCGGGTCGGGTTTAAGGCATATTCAAACTCGAACCGTTAATAATTACAGAACCCGAATTCGACTCGACTCGAACATTGTTCGACTCGATCCGATTATTGTTTAACCTGGATTCGAGTCAAATTTTCAAGGGTAATTAATATTAATGCCAAAAATAAAAAAATTGTTTTATTTTATTTTTAAAAATTTATTATTTTTTGTGAGCATTAATCTTAATTCTTTTTTTTCTTTACATCATTTTCCACCAGGCATACAGGCGCAAATTGTATTAGCTTTAAGATCACTTCTTTTGGTTGATATCAGATCAGTTCCGCAAGAAAAAAACTCGTTCTACTGGAACATTAAAAAAATGTATTAGTTAATATTTAATATCGTTAATTTTTTTTTTTACCTGTAGTTTACTCCGCAATGCTTTTCGTATTCTAGAACAAAGTTGTACTATCGATAACGTTAATAGGTTCACTCATTATTTATTTGTTACAAATTCAAGTCGCATAACGTAAAACAAAAAAAGTCTAGCGCGTCGATATTATCGCCTGATCATCCGGGTCACCCGGGTCGACTCAGGTCGACTCGGGTCAAGCAAAAACGTGACCCTGACCCGACGGGGTTTTTTTTGAATTAGGACGTATGTCATAAAAATGATAATCCCGACTCGAGAAAAAATTCGAGTCGGGTCAAACAACTCGATCGGCTAGCAGCGAATGACACTTAATTCATCTAGTAAGACAACAGCGACGACAGAAATTAGAAGAAACGGTATTAATACGCAAAATTGCTCATCAATCTTTAACGAACAGGATCATTTACCTCTTTCACATGTACAAGAAAAGTTAAAAGGCGACGACGCTCCTTTGGTAGAAGTACAACAACATTGAAGCAGCAAAAGAATAACGCAGTTATTTATACCGTTACCAAGGAAAAATTAAAATCTTTATTTGTAATCAAAGAATGTCGACAGCTTTTTAATTAAACCAATACAATCTAGACACTACACCTACTTTTGTGATTACAAGTGTAATACTAGTAATAATTCTATCTAAAATGATTCTACCGCCAATAATGACGATGATGATAAAGATTATGATGTTTAGAATGATGCAGTTATCGGTCGTATTATGAATTTAGTCGATAATATTGGAGAAGGTTCTACTCAAGGAACCACTCAAGAGACCGAGAATTCTTCCTCTGAAAATCAATTTGAAATGAAGCAGAAAAGGATAGTTCAAAAAGATAATTCAAAAGAAGAACCAATGGTTTTCATGAATGCTCGAGAGAATAGAATCGAATCAATAACGGAAGGTTTGATCAATTTTGACGAAATAATTAGCGATAATCTTAAAACTTTCTTCAAACGAATCAGCCGAAGAAAAGGATAACACCGTTTCTAACGTTACTATTGAAACCACTCTTCGGAATAAAAGATCAGATAATTTATTACGTGATTCCGGCTATGGTGAAAAAGCAACGTCAAGGGTGGATA